TTCATCTTCGTCTCATCGTGATCTCTCTTGACTCAACTGATGATGGAACAAATCAGCCTTGCGTGTGTGTGTATTTTTAAAACTGGCTCATGCAGTCTCTCTCTCTCTACTTGAATGGCTCTTGAAGCTGACAATTGAAAATTTATGATGAAAGATGGATGAGAAATAAGGAACCGTTTTCTCAATGCAGGATCTTTACAAAATGCAACTTAAATCCGAATAGACAAAGCAGCGGCGGCGGCGGCGGCGGAGAAGAAGACGACTGAGAAAGAAAGAGAGAAAAAAGTGAACAATTGCATAGTTTTGCAATTTCAAACGAGACAATTTGTCCTTTGGCCACATTTTTTGTATGATGCATTTTCTTCTCTTTTTTTTATGTTAAGCATCTTTTGAACTCGTTGCTTGATTTTTTCTACTTCTCTGAATAAAGAGAAGAAAATAAAATGAAACCATTGCAATTTAACCTAGATGCGAAATAATGATGTGCATTTCTCCTTGGAACAGGTAAAACAAGAAATGAAATGATATCACATATTTTCGGACTTTGGACATTTGTTTACGTCTTTCGCAAATGCTGGAATTTAATCTATTTAGTATTTATTTATTTAGTCGAATATTTATAGATTAAGTTTTATGACCGAACCCATATTGTTTTCGCACTATTCTAAAAATAGATTGGTTCAAAGTATCGGAAATTCACCGAGAGAGTGAACACGATACACAAATTCATTGACAACTGTTTTGCATATGTATGTGTGTGTGTGTGTGTGTTTTTTTGCATTCATCGATTGTCACAGCCATAAAACAACAAGTATGTGCCTAATTAATGCGTTGGTTTTTTGTCTGTGTAGGTAATGATCTCGAGTACATCCTCTCTTTGCTCATCCGATGGAACAAAGCTGGCTTTAAGTTTTTTTTTCTCTCTTTGGTTAGAAAAACAATCATTAGAATTGTATTGGTCTATTTATTGCTTTGTTCCTTTTGCACTGACTGAATGATGCATGAGTGTGGTCCATTCATTAAATCCATGCTTTCGTTTCTCATTCGTTTGTTTTTCACCAGAATTACTTATTGGTGCACATGTGTGTCTTGATCCGTTTTTGTTATTTTCTCGTGAAATGAAACGCACTCTTGAGCCCAAGTGCCTATTTGTTGATCGCCTTTCCATTCGGATTTTTGTTCGTTTCCTCTTATTCCGATTTGTTATGTTCCTTCTTTCTTTCGCTCTCTCACTCGCTTTAAATACCCGATTAAATGGTTCTTATGCCGGATTAAAGATGCACTGGACATCTCACAAAAGACACACACACACACACAACAGATAATAATATTCTCGTTAAGGAATTACATTTTGGGCGGCCAACAACACTTGAACGCTTGTTGCCATGCCACTCGAAACTCGAAAAGAATTTTCAATATTTAGAACTATAACTGAATCACATACGATATGGAAATTAGAAATTCCCACGTGTGCCACATCCGAATAGGAGTAATTAAATTCGAGCAAATAGTTATCACATTTATGACATTCCTTTTTTTTCCGAATTTTTCCGCTTGTAATTACCGAGGTGTTTGGTGTGTAAAAACGAAATTTGCATATTTACCGTAATTACTATGCCAAAACGTGCGAGACAGGTAATAAAAAAGTTGAAAGAAAAAGGTTCGGTTCGATGAGTTCAAATTTGTAATACTTTTATGATGTTTGCAAAAAAAACAAACAAAGACAAATAAGCATACGGAACCAATATATTGCATTTTACCAAATTCATTAAGCAAACTGAACTGGAGCTGGCTCTCAACGGAAAATGCTCAATGAAGTTGAAAATGCACACAAAACTCATTGAAAATACGATGATACCCGTCCGTTCCATTTATGAATTGGATTCATAGTGAGTTTTTGTCATTCATTGTCTGTGCTAAAAAGTACGTGGAACCTCTTGGGATTAACGCGCAGTGCGTTAGCACATCTTTCACTCGGCTCTCAATTTAAATTATTAGATTGAAAAATATTGAAGCGAAGCATTTTAAAGCCTCGCCAAATGACGAGCTTCAATGTTTGAATAGGCGAAAAAAAGGGATCGAAAAGATACATAAATAAAGTGGAAGTATCACATCCTTGGACCGCACATACGAACACTTGTTCATCATCGTTGAATCGGAGACAAAAACATGCGTTCGATTATGTTTTTTGTTAGTCCCCAGATACAAAACGGCTGCACTTGTTGCCACGGCACACAAACACACACACACACACACGCTCTCTTCCGTGGTGCTTCCGTCGTAACAATAAACAATCATTGTAATCATGTGCACATCGTAAAAACATGTGATTTCTTTTTCCGAATCGGAACAACCCTCCGTCGGCTTGATTTTCGTGTCGATGTTGATCATCATGGCGTATTATTGTCTAACTAGACGAGCATTTTTCGGCGCGCACTCATTTCCAATGAGTTCACATGCACACACGCGTGTGTATGCATCATCGGGGCCGACCCTTCTTTATTATCATGCATTAAATGTTTGTAGTGTGTCTCTGTATTATGAACTCGCATTTCATACGTAATTTCATACCGCCGTCTATACTCTATACCATTTGACACATTTGCACCACGCTGCAATGCATTTTTTGTTCTTTTGTTCGGCAAAGAGACAGAGAATACGATGAATCTCAGGACAACATAAACGATAATCATTTTCAATTTGAGCAGTTCCATACATACACAAGCGGTCCCTTGCGCTGTGTGCACACATTTCAAAATTAGGGTGCGGATAAATGACACTGTGAGAGGGATCAAAGCCATTCAACTGCTCTCTCTCTCTCTCTCTCGCTCTCTCGCTCTGTCACTCGGTGTGTTTGTGTACGACGATGAGAAAATCTGTTTGCGTTAACCCCTTAATAAATGCACGTTTATTCGAGTCGGTGCAATCGCATCTGGCTGATTTTTTGCCTCATTCGTCAATCACCATGCACTCAGTTGTTTTCGATCACACAAGAAAAACAACAATTCATTGGGCCTAAGCTATTTGCTCCATTTATGAAGTTCTTTCAATTTGCTACCACGCCGATCATTTTCGGTTATGAAATGATGAAAGAATTGAGACAGACAATGTGCGACGCTTTATTTCCCATTTTTGTGAGCATCTGTACATATATTCGGCTCGGCATTCATTTGCCCGACCATTGTTTGCGTGTGACGCATTAAACCTGATTTTTCTATTTTTTTCTACGATGAAAATGAAATTATGACCACCGAGTTAACAGAAAAAAAACGAGATAACTCTCGCTCACACGCACAAACAAAACCGATTATGCGAGCAAAATGAGAATGATAATTGCTTTTTCCGCTGTTACTTAAATCGTTGGGTTTTGTAATCATATAAAAATAAATCGCCGATTTCTTCATGGCTCCCCATCCATTTACTCGAAATTTTCACATGCGATTGATATCGAATCGTTTATTGTTTTTTTTCTTCTGCGTGGCCTTCCATCGCATTGTTTGCAAATGCCATGAATTGAAACGCAACACAATTCATATCTATACGATTGATATGGAATCGGTCGATCTAAATTTCACGTTTTTTGGACATCATTCGCACTTCACACACAATACAATCTAATCATCATGTTTCAACCATTCCGAATAATTTCCTATTCGGTCTAGTGACAAACTGTTTCGTTTTTCTCGCGTTTCATTTTTAAGTTCATAAATAAAGAGTAGAATGTTTTCTTTCTCGCATGAATGATAAATAGGAAAGAGTAAGAACAAGACGAAAGAGAATCAAAAAAAAACTTGATGATACACTTGGATCGCAAGTGTTTAGTTTAGATTACTGTCTCTTTACGAAACCAGATAAAACGAATGAAATCGCTTATCAATAGAATTTATGATGGCAATTTTTGGAAACATTTGCCGAGAAACAAATGTCACCCGCACATGCTGATTAAAATACGTATATTGCGGAAAGGAGTAATTGACGTCATTAAATACCAAAAAAAGAGTTTGCCGTGTGCATTTCTGCCTGGTTTCAGCAAAGTCCATTTTGATAGAGCGGAATACACTTCACGTACCGAATTGTTAAGAAAAAAAAAAACTTTGAACAATTTGCCACTTTTTTTTCGGATCACACGAGAGACCGAGAGAAATACGGTGTACCTTTCATCGTCTTTTGTATTCGGAACGGAATGAAAATCCAGTTTGTATGTCGATTTCGCCATCGTAAATGCTTTGTGGAATGACTTACGAAATATTGCCACACAATGCTTTGAGATTTTGAATTTTATTTCTTTCTGTCTGTCTCTTGTGTATTGAGTGTACGACTGATGCGTGTATGCAATCGGGTTTTGCCTTTTTCCGCTAAATACACATTGGCCATAGTTTACAGGCTGACGGAAGAAATGTTATGCGTATGTGAAGCCAGCGAGCGAGCGAGCGAGCGATTGATTGAAAGACGAAGAGAGAAGCGAAGACAACAACAGCAGCAGCAACAACAACAACAACAAAATTAACAAAACACACATTCGCTAATGTGCACCATCGAATTTAACTGCTTCTCTCATCAGCCTCTTTCCGTGATTTTATCAGCCGACACATTATTTCTGCTCGTTTCGTCTGCGGTTTTGATCTGTGTACGCGCGATCACACATTTCCTTCGTAATCTCTATTTCAACAAAAATGCAAGCTAATTTGGTTGCCAAAATATGCGTTTCGTAAGCGAAATTATATTATTTTTTGTTTCTGTTTCGTTTGTCTTGTTACTCTCTTGCGTCGCTGCTCGCCGTCGTCGTCGCTATTGCAGCCGCGATTCGTATTGTTTATATACAGATTTGCATTTAAAACACTGGATTCATGAGATGTATTCAAATCACACATTTCACGTAACCAGCGAGTGATTTATCACATTCAAATCATGATCAGAACGATAAACAACAACAACAACAACAACCATGAAAGCTAAATACGTTAAATTAAATAGAAGTTTTAATGGAGAATGTTTTTTACCTCGTCAATATTGTTCGTTAAAATGGCTGTAAATCCAATGGGGAACACAGTAGCACGATCCTGATGCGGCTTTTATAAAATGTTCTTCTTTTTCTTGGTTCAAAACAACAAAATGTTTTTGACGTTTCTACTCAGTTCTATCTCTTCAGTTAAATCAGTTTTTAATACAATGCGGTTGATGTCTTTACACTAGTCATTTCCACGGAAATAACGTTGATTCTATTCATCAATTTTTTTTTTGCACTAATTGATTCCACGAAAGTTCTTTTTTTCTTCTTCTTCTTTGTTTTGATTTGCTTAATTCATTTGTTGTTTTCGTTATTTTGTGTTCTTCTTCCGATTTCCAAAAATAAACCTTTGGACGAGTATACAATCATGAGAGAGCGAGAACTACAAAGTGTGATATTTCTATATGATTCGGTTCACGCGGCTTTTTCTCAAATCACAAATGTTTTGATGATTAAAATTCTTTTTTTCTTCCTTCCTTAATTTTTCCAACTCGGTTCCTGACTGACGGCGTCTGATATATATAGTTTAATTCGTTCTGACACTTTATCAACGGAAACAAGAAAAAAAAAGTGTTTTGCTTGTTTTGTTTTCAGAGTTTTCGCTTATTTTTTCATCAACTTCATGAATCACTTCGAGAAGAATAAAAATTGTAATAAATTTCGGCGTCCGTGTGAACAAACGAATTATTCTTCGTTTTTTTCCTGGTGTATTTAGTATAGAGTCATGTATTACATGTGAATTTGATGGATTATGCCCGATGGTTTAATCTTTTTTTTTTTTAATTTATTGACAACTGTATCAATATACACTTTGATCGAACATTCGTCCCAATGACAAAATTGATAAGAATATTTCAACGGTTTTTTAGCACTGAACAAGAACGGTGATATAAAAATCAGGAAAAAACTTCTTCACGATTTCTGTTGATAGCAAAAAAATTATGCGTTGAAATTGTATTTCTTGAATTTGGGATGTTTATTCCGTCTCTGATGTGGCAGCAACAGTTTTAGCCGGATAAATAATATCGTATCTTTTACACACTTGTCGCTTTTGAAATTCCAAAACAAAATTGATTTGGTTTTCTCTCTTCTTTTTCGTTCGAAAATGATTTCCTTGTCATACAGCAAAAAGGCGAGAAACAAAAACGAAAATAAAAAACAAAAAGAAACACAAATAAATAATAATCTTTTCGTCGAGCGCACGACGACGACAGACTATCGCAACTGCTCAAAACAAACTAAATGTGAACAGCAGTGGCTAGCAATTGATGTGCTTTTCTATTCTCGATACACGAACGAACGAACGACAGCAAAAAAAAAATATGCTCAGTTAAACGCTACGGCGCATCCCGTACCGCAATACGTCGCTCTGTACGCTTCACACTTCGTACGATATGGAATAAGCGGACTAAAGCGCATCCGATCACCGAGACTATGTAATACGATAAGGCAAGCGCACACTCGAAGAAAGGAAGCAACAAGAGAAGTACACTCACTCACTCACTCACACAACGGAGTGTGGGTACGGAACGGAGAGCGCGCAATACAACACAACAAAAGCCATACACTAACCCGATGATACACCGTCGACAAGTGTGTGCTAATGTACTATTACAGTAAATTGTTCACAGATTTGCGGTCGTTCGTATTCACTCAAATGCACAGGCAACAGCACCGACATCGGCTCTCTCGGGGTTGAGTGCAAGCGAAATGGAGAAAAAATACAACACACCAATCTACACATAAACGATGGTAAGAATTCTGTTTGCCGTCTCGTTCGCGTTGCGAGACCGATTACCGACCGATATAACTTATATAGTATGTTGTTGTTGGTGTTTTTTTTTCTTCTTCGTTCGTTTTGGTATTTCCGTCCTACACGGAATCAGATCCAAGAGTCGATCATCACTTACGAGTCGCAAAATCATATGCTTTTAAGTGTATTGGAATGTGAGTGCGATGCGATGGCGTCGATATATCGTACAATTTTTTCTCTCTCTCTCTCTCTCTCTCTTTCTTTTGTTTCTTCTTCGGTTCGCTCGGTGTGTATTTCAGTTTGAGATGCTTAAAATGCGATGCTGCTCTTCGCTCTCCGCTCTCTCCCTCTCCCGGGTGTTTATGTGTACTTTGCTTACGTTTCATCTCCGTACAAATCCAGTTGTACTCATCAACTTTGTGTATGGGTTCAACGCCGAACGTTTTGCCGATCGGAATTTCTTGGTGTCGTCATACGTTTCAACACAAACAAACATCATTTTGCATATCGCAGTAGAAATGAAAGAAGAAAAAAAAAAAGAAACACATGAAACGTACACATTACAATGCATATATATCTAAAGCTGAATCACTTCCTATACTCTTCTATGCGCCTTTGCTACCGCCACTGTTGTCACCGTCGCTCGTTCACAGTACAAGAACCTTCCTTATCTTTCTCATTTGTCCAACCAACAACAACAATAATAACGTAGCGAACGAGAAAAAAAATGATTAAAACGCATAAATTGATGAATAATAAAATTCGCAGATCGACAACTTGATCGCGGCCGCATTTCAACTCGCTTCACCAAATGATTCATATGGACAATCGCTTCTAAAGAATTCTAATGTATATTACAATTGCTGCATGTCGCTAGTCATGCTCCGTAAATGCCAATTCAGTTTTACAATATAAACAAAAATGACATAAATTTCAGTTTGATTTTTTCCGCTTTCCTTATATGCGCACCCATATCGAATCAGATGGAACTGTCGAGGCGGACGCGCACACGCCTGCCTGCCCGCTCGCAAGCGGCTCGCTCAAACTAATCGCCTCGTTGCATCACTAATGGCATAGTGGTTGAATGCTAAAGAGTGAAATAAGCCGCCTTCAATTAATTATTGTAATAAATTCACTTTAAAAGCCTCGTAATTAAAATCATATCGTCGCATATATAGCAATTGCTATTGCCGTTTTTTTTTCTTTCTTCCACTGTCTTTCTTTCTTGCTTTTTCTATCTGCTCTGTCCACTGTTTTCTGATCATGATAGAAGGCAAAGTGGGCCCCGTTGCTTTTTTTCTTCTTCTTCTTTGCTACAATTACACTATCGACCTAGCAAATTATAACTGGAACTGAATTTATGGTTAGACATTCATCTGGTTTGACGATTTATTTGTCAAACAGCGCAACGCGCATAATCGATTGCGCTTTGTTTGAGGAGAAAAAAACCTGACCTGTTATATATCGACGCGGGCATGGCCACATACAATTCTCTGGCAATTACATGTCAAATAATCATTATTATCGAGACACTCGAAAATAATGTTCTTGGCACGATATCCTTTTTTGTACGTCGGTCCAAAAATGGCTTTGCCGATGAAATTATGATCACTGTGTTAATTCACATTCTCGAGCTCCGTTTGCATATTTGTTGAGGGCATTGATTCTTTTTTTGCGGAGAAATCAGATGAAGATGGGCTATTTTCGTTTGATTTGTGCTGTTTTCTGATTTTGGCAATAGATTCGGTGTAATTTTTTGTGTAAGACGAACACAATTGACGCAATAGCTCGAAGTGAATGTTAATTTTCAAGTCGATCTATTTGTTTTTCTCATTATTCCTGCCTGAAAACAAATCGGATGTAAACAAAGTGAGTTCTCACTTCAAAATGATCAAACCCAGATTGGACGGTATAAAACATTGGTATCTGTTATATTCGATCGCAAATAAAGCGATTGCAGTTCATCGCTGTTTCAAAATTGATTGACTTTTAATCATCTCGGATCATTGAAATGATATAAACCGGTTTATTTTTTTTCGTGCCAAGTGCCATTAAAATTCGGAACCATTTCGTATCGTTTTAGATCAAATTTCGAGTCATCACGTGTGCGTGAGCGCGCGCCGTGCGCTATGAGTCTTTTGTCTTTTTTGTCATTAAAAATTAAGAGCGCGATAACAAGAACAAATTGAATAAGTTTGTTGATTCGGTCATTGATATTAGCCGTAATAGAGCGGTTTGGGACAGAACGGGTGAGCAAAATGCCAGAAATTTTTAATTAACAAGACACAATGTCGATAGTGTAGCTAAGTAGCAGTGTGGTGTTTTAGCAGTTTATATCAATTTCCATGCTCCATTGAAGCCAAAGCCCGTTCATTTATGTCATTACTATTATATCATCGTTTCGACTCTTGGATCATTTCTTCTTTTTCATTCACTTTGGTCGTCGTCGCCGTCTATTTTCCATTTATCGTCTCCAAACGATACGCCAATTACTTTAAAAGACACCATTGCCCAATGTGTTCTCTCTCTCTCTCTCGCTTCGCTCTGCGTCATCGTGTGAAATGCTGGGTTCGGCGGGAAAATTATGAGATTACCACTTAAATTGAGACTTTTTGTTTGATTTTTTCTTCTTCTTCTAAATTCAGTAGTATGCGGCGGCTGTCATGCGATAATGCGGTTTCTTTGGCGCACATTACACCATCCACCAATATTATGCTCGTTTCGTTATCATTTTGGAATGCGCGCACCACGTACACATTTTTTTTTCGTCTTTCTTTCTATACTTTGTTTTTTTTTATGAATGAAAAAAAAACCTGTAATTTTCCTTTCGTTTACACAATTCGTCTATCAAATCATTCTATAAAGAAGCGAATAGGCGAATGGAAACAGTGCAAATATGCAACTGACACGAATCAAACGGACGCGCGCGCGCGCGCATATTTTCTATGTGTTTTTTTTCTTCTATCTCTCTTATTCAATTTTCTGGCAAATAGAAAATAGAAGTTATGAAATCTTAGCTCGTAATACTTGCTGAATTGGTTATTACCGCAGATTGCATTTCGGTTATATCAATTCATGAATTGACTCTGGCCGATTACACCGTTCCTTGTGCTTCGTGTCGCTCTTGCGCTCGCGCTCGCTCGCTCAATCATTTCAAAATTGAAACTTTTCACATGCACTTGTATACTCGATGGTAATAATAATATGCGGTATGTACCCGTTGTGGCACGATTGAGAGTCCCAGTTGTGAATTGTGTATTTAATTCAATTTGACGAACAAAAGTGCAAAAGATTAAACACCTAAACTAGTTGCGGTTCGATCTCATATGGGTTGGCTGCCTGCTTGACTATGGAGCCCGCTTCGCGAGCGATAGTTCGAACAAAATTATTTGCGTGGTTTTCTAAATCCATCTCTCTTTCGCTGGTCGCTTTGCATATTTACATAATCGGTTAAGTCATCGAAAGAAAAGCGAAAAAAAAGGTTCGTGTTGTGCCGTTGTGTGTTGCCGCACTGTCATTTCCATATCAAATGGAAATAAGTCGAGAGTATGGCAGTGTACCGTCGCCGCCGCTGCCGCTGTCGTTGAGAAGACGATCAAAATACTGAATTCATAATAATCGCATATGGATGGTTTTTTTTTCGTATATTATATTAATTTTGTTTTACTTCATAAACCGTTCAATAGAAAAAAGTGAGAGAATTCAGCAAATTGCGTTGACGTAATGAGAATAGACTATGTTTGAAACGACGAATAGACACATTTGGCATGTGTGTGTGTGTGTTTGTGTTTGTGTTACGGTAACAAAATAGTCATTATAACCATTATTATTACTGCATAGATACAATGTGGTAAGAAAAACTTGCTCGCCATAACTCTCGATCCATTATTTCATATTCCGAATTTGTTGTTGTTTGTTCGCTGGTCAAAAATTCGCTTAGAAAATTAACGGTCATAATGAAATGAAATTTTATTTGAGAATTATCACAATTATCATGTCGAATCGTTAGCCGGATCGTGTGGCTGCGGCTCACTCTATTGAAATCGAAACCAAAGACTTGGAACATTGTATGTTCCCATTGATTGTCGCCTCGCCTCCATCAAATCAGTTTCACTTTTCACGGCGTGCGTCTCTCGAATGCGATTTTTGGAAAGGTTGCGAGTTTTGTGCGGTGCCCCATGTACACATATCGTTACTTTACAGAGAGAAAGACGAAGAAATAGAAAGAAAGAGTACAAGATGTGATCGTGCCGTGCGGCCCACTTAAACTCTAACACAATATTCACATCCTAGCCTAAGTTGTTTTCCGTGTCGCTGTTAGTTTTTTGTTTTGATTTTTTGCCTTTACGATGACCCACTTTCCGATTCTATTTCGATTGGCAGTGCATTCGATTTAACATTCAATTAATTAATATTCCTAAATTACCGTTCGCAAAAGAAAAATATATTGGGAAATCTTTTACCTTCTTTGCACACACACACAATCTCTCTCTCGGT